ACAGAGGGGTCCTTCGAGATGCAGTCATTGGTGTAGAGTGAAAACAGCAGAGGGGAGAGCACACATCCCTGGGGGGCACTTGTGCTTATTGTCCAGGTGCTGGATGTGGTTTTCCCCAGCCTCACCTGCTGCTTCCTGTCTGTCAGAAAGCTAGTAATCCACTGACAGGTGGGGGCAGGCACAGTGAGCTGGGTCAGTTTGGAGTGGAGGGTGTCCAGGATGATGGTGTTGAATGCCAAGCTGAAGTCCACAAAGAGGGCCCGTGCATAGGTCCCTGGGGAGTCGAGGTGTTGCAGGATGTAATGCATGAGTTAACGAGTTTGAATGTGACTGCTTAATTCTGACAACAGTCACAGCCCCACAGTAAGAGGGTGTGCACACTAATGCAACCACATTATTTTAGTTTTTTATTTTTACTTCCACTGAAAAAAAAAATTTCAGTTTGTTTTCAATTGAGTTGTACAAGTTATAGGTCACATTAAAGGTGGCTAAAGTTCTGGAATTATTTATCTTGGTCTCGTTTTTTTACATCACCGAAACCTGGCATTTTAACAGGGGTGTGTAGACTTTTTATATCCACTGTACACTGAAAAAATTATAAATGCAACATTTTTGTGTTTGCCCCCATTTTTCATGAGCTGAACTCAAAGAGCTATGACTTTTTCTATGTGCACAAAAGGCCTATTTCTCTCAAATATTGTTCACAAATCTGTCTAAATCTGTGTTAGTGAGCACTTCTCCTTTGCCGAGGTAATCCACCCACCTCACAGGTGTGGCATATCAAGATGCTGATTATACAGCATGATTATTGCACAGGTGTGCCTTAGGCTGGCCACAATAAAAGGCCACTCTAAAATGTGCAGTTTTATCACACAGCACAATGCCACAGATGTCGCAAGTTTCGAGGGAGTGTGCAATTCGCATGCTGACTGCAGGAATGTCCACCAGAGCTGTTGCCTGTGAATTGAATGTTTATTTCTCTAACATAAGCCGTCTCCAAAGGCGTTTCAGAGAATTTGGCAGTACATCCAACCGGCCTCACAACCTCAGACCACGTGTAACCACACCAGCCCAGGACCTCCACATCCAGCATCTTCACCTCCAAGATCGAGACCAGCCCCTTGGACAGCTGCTGCAACAATCGGTTTGCATAAACCAAAGAATTTATGCACAAACTGTCCGAAACCGTCTCAGGGAAGCTCATCTGCATGCCCGTCGTCCTCATCGGGGTCTCGATCTGACTGCAGTTCGTCGTCGTAACTGACTTGAGTGGGCAAATGCTCACATTCAATGGCGTCTGGCACTTTGGAGAGGTGTTCTCTTCACGGATGAATGACCGGTTTTCACTGTACAGGGCAGATGGCAGACAGCGTTTATGGCGTTGTGTGGGTGAGTGGTTTGCTGATGTCAGCGTTGTGGATTGAGTGGCCCTTGGTGGCGGTAGGGTTATGATATGGGCAGGCATATGTTAGGGAGAACAAGCACAGGTGCATTTCATTGATGGCATTTTGAATTCACAGAGATATCGTGACAAGATCCTAAGGCCCATTGTTGTGCCATTCATCCACAACCATCACCTCGTGTTGCAGCATGATAATGCATGGCCCAATGTTGCAAGGATCTGTACACAATTCCTGGAAGCTGAAAACATCCCAGTTCTTGCATGGCCAGCATACTCGCTGGACATGTCACCCATTGAGCATTTTTGGGATGCTCTGGATCAGCGTATGACCGCGTGTTTCAGTTCCTGCCAATATCCAGCAACTTAGCCCAGCCATTGAAGAGGAATGGACCAACATTCCACAAGCCACAAT